ATGCGCCAGTTTTCTGATTTGAATGTTTTTCCTCATTCTTACCATTTCATATTTCCACTCCTAGTTTTCTTCAATGAAACACAAACACTGGAGACCATGAAACGAACTGAATCACTGAAGTAGATCAAAAGACAATGTCAATGACAATATTCCCTGAACTTTGTCCAATATAGTTACCGCCCCACTCAAACCCCTACATCAAATTATCTATCTATCTAAGAATTTACAATAAGCTACCGGAGACAATTAAAAAGGAAGTTACTTACTTCAAATTCAGAAAACATCTCAAAACTTTTCTGTTGTCGAAAATGTTTTATAGTATGGAAGAATTTTATGCTACCTAGATAGATACCTTCACTTTAAGATATTATATATTTTCTTTTACCTAATATACACTATTTTTATATTTGTCAATTTTAAATGTGAATTAACTATATGTAAGCTATGACGTGTTTTATATCACTTACAGTGGTCTTTGAAAATCAATAAATTTTACTTTACTTTATTTGTGTAAAAAACGCCGACTATAAATAAAAATAACCCCATGTCGCTGGGCGCCCTGGGCGGCTTTCAAAAGGCGAATTGCGAATTGTTAAGATCATACCAAAGAATATAGGTTATCATACATTGATTTCCACCACCGGCTTCCTGTAAGGTGAGCAAAAATATTAGGCCAATTAGGAACTGCATCAAACGCATTATGGAATCGTGCGCGTGCCGATAAAGGATTTCACGAAAGATAACCAACTGTTGGAAGGTATTATATTCCGTACTTTGTTTTTTACGCTCCTGTCCCGACCCCCTTTGCCTTTCGGCGGCATGTTTTGATGTTTGGAATGGAACTAGTCAATTTTTCAATGAATATTTTAATTTGAGAGTAGGAATTTTTCTATCGTGTTCCCTTACATTTGGCGCCCCTTTCTGGCCTGATGGTGTGCTGTGCACACCTCGCACACCCGCTAGAGGCGGCCCTGCCCATAATAATAAACACGAGGAGTACAAGATTTTTTTCAGGTTTGAACGTGAAATGAGTTTCCAGCTTCATTTATTTCATAAATCATAAACAGAATTCGTTTTTCATACGTTTGATTCAAAGACATATAAATGAAGGAATTCTCACGAAACAATAGTTATGATATCTCTGGAAACTTTATGAAAAATATACAATACTCCCAGTAAACGAAGGATATCCAATGTTGCCGGACGTCCAATATTTTTGTGAGACAATATTTTCAATTTGTTATCTGAAAGACGTGAGGTTTAAAAAGTATGTTGTAGACATTTTTAGTAGTGTTACTATTGAAAAAAAAACAATTCCAGATACGATTGAAATTAGACATGAAAGAAGAATCTCACGGATGAAAATAAGTATGATAGTAATTTACGTTATGTCTGGAAAGGGTTGTCCACAGTACGGGTATGCAAAATTCAGGCTGACGCCAAAGGGAAGGCTAACACCTAATTTTGACATTTAATTTCAAACGTTCCAGAACTGACAGAAGTTTTGAAACGTTCTACTTCACGTAACCAGTTGTATGAGCCAGAGGTTATACACTGCATGAGCTATAACATAACTGCGGTGATGAATAATTGTTCATATTAACACCAGTTATGACATAAGAATATGTCTTGAATCAGCCATTTCCACTGATGTCAATATAAAAGGAGTCTATTTCTTGAATTCCGTCGCTGATTCGAGACCATTCTATTGTTTGACGGTTACTTCAAAGTGACGGGAGAATCCAACTTGCCTACTAAGATTGATAAGTTTTGTACATAATCGGTAGAACTTATGTAGAACCGAGTGTAGAACTGGTTATCACTTCTGTTCAAGCGAAAGTTTTCATCAAAATTAGGAAAAATATTGCACGTAACACGTTAGGAAACGCATTTTGTGTAACTCTTTGTTTTGTGGGATCCCGCTCAGCTCGTACTGCAGATTTCCATCGTCACACAAAATGATGCGTCACTGGTTACGTAAATATTTATTCCAAATGTTAATTGAAACGTTTTTAAGGCAACTTGCTACTTTCTCTATCGAATTAACAATCAAACTACAAAAGGGGATTCCCACATCAAATCCAGTTCAAAAAAGCTCTTCATTCACACATAAGAGGGATATTTTGTACTTCCGACCTCCACTCCATTAATTTGTAATTTGGATGTTCTCATTACCATCTTTCACATGATCATCTTATTATTTGTGAACAAATCAAGTTTAACTTTAACTATCCCTATAAATGCAGGAGTAGGCACCCAAAGGCAGGTAATAAGTGAGGTGTACGCACACAAACGGATGTGACGTCACTGGTGAGATTACCAGATTTGACCATGACAGGTGATATGAATGAAATATGACCTAGAATTGCGGATTTTGACAGTTCTCACCCTTCAGTCGGTCGGTGGACTATGTGCTTTTGTTCCGCTGTGCTTCTTGTGTAAGACTATGAAAACCTTTCAGTTTCATTTGTGCAACGGATTTATGCATTGATGCGCTTGTATTGAATAATTTTGATTCCTCAAAATGACATAAACCCACCTGTATGGAAATAACGAACTGATAGATATGCTTCTAATTCATGAGGATACGCAACAAAATTCTGAGGCCACCTCCCGCCTTTGTGCAGAACGGTTTCCTAATTATTATGTTCATCCCCGTGGTCGCTGAGGTTTGTCGCACATGTCCAAAGAGCCCGCGATATAGGTGGAATATATGCACTCACAGAGGCCGAAATGCCGGTAGGAACATAATGGACCTCTCAGAATTATTGACATAAAACAACAGATTTTGGATATTTTTGAAAACGATCCAACCTCAAGTACCCGCGGCATTGGTCTTCAGTTAGGGGTTTCGAATCAAGCTGTCGGGCAGACTTTGAATGAGGACATGCAGCATCCCTTCCATCATCAGCGTGTGCAGTCGTTGCAGCCAGAAGATTATCCACCAAAGATACAATTCTCAATCATCATAATTATCACCATTGGGCAGTTGAAAATTCACATGTGACTGAGCAAACTAATTTTCCACATCGCTTCTCGATCAATCTACGTGGTGAAGTCGTGAACGTAGTTCTAATTGGACTTCATTAGTTGCCGCCAAGAATGAATGGACTTTCCTATTTGGAATTTCTGCAACATGATCTTGATACTCTTTTAGACGATTTGCCATTGGGACTTGGATAAATAATGTTTTTCATGCCATGATGGAGCTCCTAGCCATGATTGTGCAATAGCTCGGGAATTTTTCAACGGTGAATTTCCACAAAAATGGATTGGTCGTGGAGGGCTTGTACCGTGGGCACCAAGAGATCTTGGATAAAAAATAAACAATGCGGTTCAAGAAATGCGACAAGAAGGTAGTTTCCAGCGGGCTTGCGAATCATTACTACGCCGTGCGAGAAATGGGTGGCGCTAATTTTGAACACTTGTTGTGAACTGAAATCAGTGCATCTCAGGAAACAGTGGATGAAAGGATAAGTACATGAGCTGGCAACAGTGCAGGAGTTGTGCGAGAAAGCTCTCTGTACAAGAGAACCAAACCAGTGTTTCCAAAACTATAATGAGTCAAATGATCAATATTTTGAAAATTTTTAATAGCTCTGGAAATGTTTTTTATTGCCATTTATTGTGTCATAATGTGTGATCGAACACCTCATTCAATTTATTACCCCAATTTAGGAAACACCCTGTATTCTCAATTTTTTGTGCGATGAATAAAGAACAAATTTGAAGGCAGCAGGAGTTTTGAAGCGCTGCCAATTTCATTGGCCGACGAACTGCGAAATATGCCCTCTTGAATCAAATTTCTATTCGAAAAAGTGAATGCGGCTCAGCATTCGGTGGTTTCATAAAAATAAATGAGTATTTGAAAACATTATCAGACTGATGTGAAATCTTATTTTCCATTAGGATTATTTTCTTTCATAAATATGCTGAACATGAGTTCGTAAGAATGGCCGCAGTGGAGTAGCTCCTTTTGATAAGCCAAAGATCGCGGGTTCAAATCCCGTACGTCACCAATTTCTTTCCACTTTTGAGATATGTCGATTACCTGGATCGAAATGGATATCCATTGGATGTCCATTTCTGTGGCAACTTGATGTCCTAGACATCATCGGACGTCCAATGGATATTCGTGGACATCCATCAGAGATACATTATATGTACGTGTGTTATATGGGTCAATTTTGTATGACTTTATGCAAAACTGATTATGCAAATTTTGAAGTCATCAGCTAGAAAGGGCTGGGATTGGCGCAGTAGAAGAGCGCCCGTCTCACGACCGCAAGTCGTGGGTTCGATTCCCAGCCGGAGCAAGGAACTTTTTTCAATACTTTATTCACGAATTGAATATTGTGAAGTTTCGGGAAAGTCTTGCATGATTCGCTGTTGCGTTCCAATTAACAGTGCTGCTCCTGAAATGGCGCATGGAGTTAGTAACAAGGCCTACTCAGAACATGCAGGGAGAGATGATGATGTGGTTGTGAGCATTAGAGAAGAAGTAGACGATGTATGTTAGTGGGTGTGGAAAACTACCAGCTGAGCGTGAGAGCGGGCCAATGTTGCTTAGTGGACCTCCTCTAACGGGGGTTAACGAAGTAGCTGGCAGGTCTGCTACTGCAGCATATGGTAGTGAGTACATCACTTGCCTACAAAACACAGCCGAAAAACTCTGAGAGCTGCGATGGACGGTACCTGATGAGAAGAGTGTTAGCCAGCTCTCTCAAGCGAACCACATCACTCAATAAAAACACCTAGGGGCTTGCAAAAAGGTCCCATTAGGGACTAGTTCCTGACGTGCAAACGTTCTCCATCAGTACCAGTATCGGCTAGAAGTGTGTCATGGAATTTATGGAAAAAACAAAAAATGGAAAAAATGAGATATATTTGGCTAAAAAATTCCGAAATCTTGTGGACATTATGTGAAAATCTTATCGTTTCGATTTTCATCGAGGCTGATTCAATACAGAACGCAAATTATACTTCGAAATTATAATCACCTTAATGATGTCTTGTTTGCTGTGCTGTAAGTTCCTTGGCTGTCCTCTAGAAGTAACAACCACTGAGGGCTGTTGTATTGATTGTGATGAAGGGTAACTCGGTTTTGGTTCTGCTCTAACTCTCTCCCTCTCCCTCTCCCTTTCGTTGTCTCGCTCCTTCTGTCTAGGTTTGGAAGAAGTACTCGTGATGAAAGAAGGAGATCCAGACATATCGAGGCCATCACATCCAACGTTCCTTGGCCAGTCGCAAGTCTGGAGTTCATGGCTTAAAAAAAGGAAAACATGTAAAACGTTATTCTGACATAATTCATTACTTGTTATTGTAATTTTCTTGAACGTCTGAATGATCAAAACAAGAATCGGAGACAACAAAAAAGCAGCAAGCTGCGTCACAAAACCTCGGATTTTCATAACGTACATACATAACGTTGCTTCACACCCAACAGTTTCTCATAATGAACAAAGCACAGATTCATAATGCTATTTCCATACATGGAATTCAGCACAAAAACATTAGCTGATGGGTAGCAAAACGAACCATTTAACTGGTACCACACTGACTGATTACTGGGCATCTGAGATCACCGTAGGAAAGTTGGCGATCTTCCACTATTCTATTGATTATATTATCCAGAAATATCTATCATTCCAACACTAGCAATACCAGTCAGAAAACTCGCCAAACCAAGTCAGAACATCTTTTCGTCATCAACGTGATATATTTATAATAAATCTATTTCTGAAGGTGAATTCCCAGATCTATGGAAAACTGCGCTTCTTGTGCCAATTATACAAGAATTCTGGAGACAAAAGAGATGTCACTAATTATAGAGGTTTCAGTGAACTTTGTATTTTTAGTAAAATCTTTGAGAGCATATTGCATGATCTAATCTTCGACAGCCTCAAACACATAATTCTGGAAGAACAACATGGATTCTTTTTTAAAAGATCTATAGAAACCAATCTCATGATTTATAATCAGTTTATATCAGATTCACTTGATGATCGTATTCAAACTGACCCTATCTATACAGATTTTAGCAAGGCATTTGACAAGATTGATCATATCATTTTGTTAATGAAACTTGCTGAAATTGGTATGCATGGTGATATATTACAATGGTTCTCATCTAACATATTCAATAGGACTCAGATCATGAGTATCAATGGATTAAACTCTAACCCAATTATAGTTACCTCGGCGGTGCCCCAAGGGTCAAATCTTGGACCTTTATTATTCAGTATTTTCATTAATGACATCTGTCAATGCTTCCATGATTCTGAATTCTTATTGTATGCTGATGACCTGAAACTTTTCACAAGAATTTTTATGTTGTTGGACGATTGTATGAAACTCCAGAACGATCTCGATAGGTTAGATGTGTATTGAAAAAGGAATAGATTATTTTTTAACTCAAAGAAATGTTACAGTATGAACTTTGCTAGGAATCAGAACCCTATTACATTTGGTTATAATTTGAATGATTCCCATTCGGAAAAAAGTATCTCATATTGAGGACCTTGAAGTTATTTTCGATTTCAAATTGACTTTTGCAATGTATATTCATTATGTTACTAACAAATGCAATAGAATGTTAGGTTTTATGAAAAGAACTAGATATTTTCGGTCTCAAAATTCAATCAAAACCTTATATTATGCCTACGTTTATAGCCGATTATGTTTCGCAAGTGTCATTTGGAGTCCTTATTATACCAACCACAAAGTTCGATTGGGAAAAGTTCAAAATAATTTTGTGAGATTTCTGAACTTCAGAGTGATCAATTCATTCGTTGTAGAGAGTATCGATCAAACCAGACGCTATTTTGGACTCATAACCTTGGGGCAACGTAGAATTATGTCTGATTTATTATTCATTTATTTATTTTATTTTATTTATAGATACAACTTACAGACACCATCTAAACAGTATTTGAATGTAAGTGAGTGCTTATCACTAGCCTGACACAAAAAAGAAAAGAAAAAACACAAAAACACTAACAGTGAATCTTAAATAACTAAAACCTGTCCATACAAATCTACCTGAAACACTTTTTAATATCCAGAACTGTACAGTTCAACAAATCTAAATTAAAGTCCCTCGATAGAATATTGCACTGATTTTGCATATAATTTATTGGAAAGGACTACGAGAAAAGAGATCACAATTGTTTATTCTAAGGTTAATCTTTGGTACATGAAACTCTAAGAAGTTTATTAAGTAGCATGTTTTATATTTATAATTATTCACAACACTATGCAAGAACAAGACACAATGCACAATGCAATGCATTTATGAAATAATGAGGAATCATTTTAGTTTTTCTATGTTGTTATCTCTCATATCATTCCATGTACCGTCTAGACCCACACGACTAAAAATATTCTTGAATGTCAATTCTTGTCATACCAATAAGTGATAATTTTAATAAATATTGCTGCAACGTAGATATACATTGTACATCATCGAGTCAGTTCAGGGCACTTATTAGAAACCATATATTTGTCTGATTGATCTAAATTCGGAATTTATTTTTGTTTTATCTCCAGGTACTGAATATTTAATATTATTGTGATATCAACTTTGTAGAATGTAAGCATCAAAGTATTCTGTGTAACTAGTGGATACAGTTTTGGGCTTCTGCCTGTTTGTATCCCATATTCATTGAATAAATAAATAAATAAACACAATTTCGTCAAAACTCGTTTGCCTATAGAACGGCAGAGCTTTGGAATTCATTGCTGAAGGAAGTATTGCCAAGAACTCATAACCTCCAGAAATTCAAGAACAAACTTGTGATTCGTTCTTCGAGTAAACGAAAAAAAGCTCCAGTGCTTATAGGGAAATCAGCTTGGGTAATACGAAATTTTTACTGTTCCTAGACAATAGGGAAGACCACTGAGGAAAGAAATCCGTGCAAACCTCTTTCAATCGACGAATCATGATTCACGTTTGGTCTATAATCAATTTCATGAGTTGAAGTTGAAGGGAATCGGATCTATATCGTTCTGGAATCAGCATATTTCATTCGTTATTTCGAAAAGCTAAATGTGATGGTGGAGCCGTGACGTATTAGTCCCGCACTGTAGCTATCTCTCTCTGATACCTCGTCATTCTGTAGTGTTGCAGTGTGATTGGTGAGTTCAAGGACAATAGGCGTGTTGGGACTAAGACGTCGCACCAGTCACACCAATAGTTGACAAAATTTCAAATGGCACAGGAATTGTGTGTTTTGAAATGGGCATATTCTAATTTATTTTTTTCATCGTTTTAGGATGAATGAAAAAATTCGAAATCAATTCACTGGTAGTTTTTCAGTATAGAGTTCACGAAAATGTCATTTCAAAAAAACAGTGGTCTCCCCCATACAAACATTCATATTTGACGTTGGTGATCATGAACACTGAATTCTAGGTTGTGATCTTGTCAAGAAGATACAATGAGTATTCTTAGAGGAATATTTAAGTGTCTAGACCAAAAATAGTTCAATATAGCATGATGCTTACTGAATAACATAGTGGTAATGACCGAGGTAGTGTTGATGAATCATTATATAGGGTGTTCTAGATATTCAGCTGTCTGTATAGCAACAGAGCATTTTTGAAAAGACTACGGAACTTGAGTGCCCATCGCAAGTTATTCGTTTCTGTGTACGATTGATGTTCCTCGAACTTGATAGAGATACCTTCACCTGCGCTTCAAAGGATGAAAACATCATTCTCGGAACAGCGTGATATTTTCACTTTGAGAGGAGACAATTCCAAAACCAAGGTTTGCCAGTTTATAATTGTTGGTGAAGTGAAACTTCTCATACTCTCTCCTATGGTGGAGCCCTAGCAATAGTGAGAAATATTCTTCTGGATGGCGAAAGAAATCTTTCAGTCAAAACCTTCATCAGGGTCCATGAAAATGTTTTTCCATCCGAGACCCAAAGTGTGTTCTCTCTATCAAAGTAGTTTCCGTCATTTTATGAAATACTAGTTCCAATGGACATAGCCATCTCTGTTATAACTAACTCGAATATACTGTCCTGATGCGATATTTGCAGGAATGACACTACAATCTAGATCCAGGAGGTATTTATCAGTTACAAGATTCCAAAGAAAAACAAAAAGATGTGCTCTCATAGTGACAATCGGTCCATATTTTAGTTTCAAAAAACTTTGATGATTTAAATATATGGCTAGTAGTGAAAACTAATCCATAGGTGTACTTGGTGTATAAATAACTATTCTTACCAATGTGGAATCTTTCCTTGATTAGTGAAGAGTTTTCCTGTATATTTTTGAATCCATGATAACATTATTTTCACGCAAACAGACAATTTCTCTTAAAATCATTCGAATACATGAAATTGGACATTAATATTAAGAAAACGTGATTTCTTGTGGGGTCCCAAATGATCGAAGACCACGAAAATATTCAAAGGACAACCAGAGAGAGTGGTTTCTGTGGTTTCACGGTAAGCATCTCTTTCGATAGTGCATTCACTTTTAGTAGTGACAAAACGAAACAATCCATTCGAAACAGTATTTGTACTGAGACAATACACATTTTATTCATGAAAAAATCTTGATAACATTCTGTGCTGGTTACATATATTATGAAGGCTTACACCTCCGAGAAATTCAAGAGCAAATTCCTGTGATATCATCCTAGGACCCGAAGTAACACAATTTTGAAATATTAATGAAATTAAACGGCAAGTTATGTGTCGCATACCATAAAACAAATTTAAAGAATAAACTGACGCAAAATAAAAACAAAAATATATTTTGTCCACGGGTACTTCATTATCATCAATTTTCTTTTATGGAATTCATGAAGAATAATTAGAAAAACAACTTCCAACAATCGAACGCCATATTCCTCCTGCAGTTTGTGTTTATTAAACTAATCGAATTCTTTGAACCATCAGCTGAGAAGGGCAATATCGTTTTTCGTTGACTCGATTGTTTGGGTGTTACGTATGGTGAAAATGTTTCTATGACCTGTTGTTTGTTAGATGAGCCCGGGGAGTGGTAATGTTTCAATCAGAAATTGAGATATTCTCAGTGGAAAGCCAATCAGCTATTTCTAATTTGAAATTAAATCATTTTTTCTCCGTTCTCCCTCATTCCAGCTCACCTTTTGGTCTTCTGAATCTTTCTTGAATTCATTGGTATCAGAATTATTATCACTCAAAATTACACGAGAGCTTCTTGTCGAAATGATCGAAGTAAACTGGATAATTCAATGAAAATTTTGTTGCCTGGACATTGAACGA